TACCTCCCGTATACCTCCCGTATAGCTTTCCCGTATATTTCCCGTAGCCTTTCCGTATACATTCTGTACCCTGCTCATATCTCCTGTCTCCTCTCTCCTTTCTACTCTCTCCTCTCTCCTCTCTCCTCACCTCTCTGCTCTCCTCCCTCCTCTCTCCTGTCTCCTGTCTCCTCTCTCCTCTCTGCTCTCCTGTCTCCTCTCACCTCTTCTCTCCAGTCTCCTCTCTGTATAGCCTTCCTGTACTTCCCGTAGCTTCCCCGTATGCCTCCCGTAGCCTCCCCGTATACCTCCCGTATACCTCCCGTATACCTCCCGTACCCAGAGCCTCCAATAGTCCTTAATTAAGGAGATACCTTAATTAAGGTCTCCAGGATTTTCTTAATTAAGGACTTTTGGGGGAATTTCTGGAGACCTTAATTAAGTGATCTGGCTTTGGTGCTGTTTGTGGTATAATGGCTAAGTTTGTGTCAAAATTGTCATATGTTTTTTTCTTTGCTGTCCTTTAGAAAGTTGTACTTTTTGCAAAAAATAAGTAATAATCTCCTCATAGGAGATTTTGTTTTTTCTTTACAGAAACTATCCTCTGAGGAGGTTTTCTTTTCTCATCTCTTTGTAGAAATCTTTCCCTCAGGGAATTTTATCTTCATATCCTTGAACAAATCAAGATGTATACCTGTGCATGAGGTCTCAGGTCATGGGCAAAGAGATGAACAAAAACAAATGTGTGCTAGTGTCTTCTTCACAAGAAATCCTTTTTTCCTCTTCATGCAACTGGAAGTTCGTCTTGAGACATGAATTTGTACAGTGTATTTCTGGAAGTTGAAGCAATTGTAATTTCCTCAGATGTGATTGATCTGTGGCATCAAAATTGGAAAAAAGAAAACACAAAATGGCAAACAAGGTTCTCCCATATCTTCATCTCTATATGTCCAATTCTGAGAAGGGCAGCACTCATCAAATTCACATGGAAGAGGCGGTGCTCGGGCTTCAACCTCCAAAACATCCCTTCAGGAACGAAGAGGAGACATAAAGTAGCAGGAATCTTTGTCCTGCTGTAGCTAATTCTTGTGGGTTCCAAAGGTCTCTGGACAGCAGGCTGCATTCAATCATGGAAAATGGTGTTTACAAATGTGTTGGACTTGTCCAGCAATGCTTCTGCAATTTCCAAGCTCCATGGTATGAGAGACCTGGTTTCTCCAGCAGATGCTCTAAGCTTGGGAGCTGAGACTTTGTTTGTTTTTTGTCGGCCCTCCTGGGCATTCCCATATAGTCAAAGTATCAAGCCTGTTGTCCACTGAACTTCTCCTGTAGAAAGATTGCATGGATCTAAAAACAGAACTCAACCTCTTGTCTTTGCTGGAAATCTATCAAGGAGGAAAACAATCAAATTCCCTAGAAAATCTTGGGCAACTCCCAGGTCACAAGCATGCAGCCAATCAATAACAAAGCAATCTATACCTGGAAGCCTGGTGCACAAAATAATGCAGATATTTGTTTTCCTTCTGTTATGCAATCAACAAAATAATCCATGGTGGTTTTTCTCTGCATGGCTCCTCTAAACTAAGTGGTGCAATCCCTGCTGTTATCTTTGGTGGCATAGCACCTATAGCAAATGTTGCCTGTGCCAGACCTTCCACTGAGGTTGAATGGGTTTTTTGTACATTTCCCCATCTCCTCTATAACTTCTGTGAGAAGTGCAGTGCATTTCAAGCTTTTGCCTTGGTTGTTCCTTCTCCAGGAAGACAGGGGTTACCTGGGTGCATGGAAAGAATCCAGCTTCTGTTAGCAGTGTCCAGTCAGAAACCAAAAAGAGATTGGCTGATGATTGGTCTTTCCAGGGAAAACAAGAAAACTGGCAATGACAGGCAACTTTTTTTCACCTTGTGCTCACCAGCTCTGTAGCCTCACTTCAAAGTGCAAAAACCGCTATATCCTTCTCTGCACCCTACATCCTATATATCTGTATATGTAAAACTCCATGTATATATGTGTGGGAGTATTGCTAAAACACATAGTCAGAGTTTAGAGAAGGATTTCTCCTCAGAGGAGTTTAGCCTTCAAGGAGAGCCTGGACTCTCCTTTTCAAAGCTTTCAGCCCATCTAGGTGCTGACTTCCTTTTTCTTTCCAGTCTGTCAACTTCTGACAGAGGGCCTTGGCCTTTGCCTCGTCCATGTTACTGGAAATTTCCAACTTGGAAGCAGCAAGGTCAACACGCAATTCATCAAGGACTTTGCCCACCTTGTTGAAACCATCTTGAAGATCATCCAAAAGTTTTTTCATGTCTCTGCCAGGGTTCTGGTGCATAGCCTTGAGATCCTTGAAGAGGCTGATGATAGCTTCATATTCTTTGGACACCTTGGTCTTGGCACTGTCCACCACTTTCCATGAGCTCTGGCACTCAGCAAATGGTTCAATCTTGCTTTCTGGACCTTGGTCACCCAAAGCCAGCTTCATCTTGCTGACCTGAATGTCACCTGTGTCAACCCTGACCTCAGATGTCTGGTGCTCTGCTTCCTTGGTCGTGGCTTGCTCTGGTCGGTGAATGTAGTAGTGCATGCTCAGCAAAGGGTTGGTAGGATGTTCCTTCTTGAGTGGTGGATCCTGCTGGGTGGTGATCCCCTCCCTTTCATAGCAGTCTTTGAGCAAATCTCCAAAGACTTTGGTCCTGTCATCAGGTAAGAAATCTGCCCAGCCCCACCCATTGTGCTTCAAGATCTCAGGAGCTGACCTGAGCTGTAAATGTAAAATGCATGCTGTTTTAAATGAAATGCTGGATGTGGTTTATGTATATATCTTGATGGTGCAAGACTATATGCATGGATGTATATGTCTATATGTGTGAATATATATATGAAAATTTTATAAGGAATGGATATACAAAATATGTATATATATACATATATATATACATATGTGTCTATATGATATATGCCTACCTTCAGGATCTCTTCAAAGAAAATTTCTAACTCTGTGCATCACTCCTCAGAGGAGTGGCCTAAGTGTTATGTATAATCCATAAAAATTGTTTGGTGGAAACAGAAAATATAATTCAACTTTACCTAGAGACATGTACCCTTCAATAACTTCAGATGAAATCTCCTTAGAGGAGCCGCTGGATTCCACAGTGGAGAGAATCTGCTGAAGGTTGCCCTTGATCCCACCTCCAGCAATGTACTTGGACACAAGGCCCCTCTTCTCATCTGCCGACA